CTGAGTGGAACTGTTGTGTGATAAGGGAGGTATATGCATGTTTAGTTTTTGTTTTTGTTTTTTTAAATTTTATCTTTCAATTACAGTTTGCATTGAACATTATTTTTTGTTAGTTTCAGGTACAGCATTGTGGCTAGGCAATATATATTTCACCAAGTGTTCCCCCGGATATTTTTAGCACCAAACATATATAGTTATTACAATAATGCTGACAGTATTGACTGTACTTTGTACCTGTGACTATTTTTGTAATGATCAGTTTGTACTTCTTAATCCCTTCCTTCTTTTCACCCTCTACTCCCCTCCCATGCCCACCAGTCTGTTCTCTGTATCTATAAATTCTACACGTTTATAAGAAGCTGCCAGACCTTTCTCCAGTGACTGCACACATTTTGCACTCCCACGGATAACAGGGTTCCGGTTTTCCCACAGCCTCACCAATCTAGTGTATCTTCAGTCCTTTAAATTTTAGCTTTTCTGGTGAGTAATGATATCATGTAGTTATAATTTGCATTTTCCTGATGACTAATCATATCTTGCTGGATCATATGATAGCTCTATTTTTAATTTTTTGAGGAACCTCCATATTGTTTTCCATAGTGGTTGTACCAATTTACATTCTCACTAACAGTACATGCACAATTGTTCCCCTTTTCCACATCCTTGCCAAAACTTGATTATCTGTCTTTTCTGTTTTCTTTATGGAAATGTCTATCCAAGTTCTTTCCCCATTTTAAAAACAGAGCATCTTTTTGCTGTATGATTCTTTATGTATTTTGAACATTAGACCCTTATCAGAGAGATGGTTTGCACACATTTTCCCTCATTTGGTTGCTGCCTTTTCATTTTGCTGATGTTTTCTGTGTGGTGCAGGAGCTTTTTAATTTGATGTGGTCCCACTTGTTTATTTTTGCTTTTGTTGCTTGTGCTTTTGGTATCATTAAAAAAAAAAATGTTGTCAAGGCCTTTACCCTTGTCAAGAAACTTTACCCCTGTTTTCTTCTAGTAGTTTTGCAATTTTGGGTCTTACATTTAAGTATCTAATCCTTTGTGAGTGGTATAGGTGGGGTCCAATTTAATTCTTTTGCATGTGGTTCCCCAGTTTTCCCACCACCATTTATTTGGTGGAGACTGCTCTTTCTTTGAGTCTTCTTGGCTCCCCTGTCAAATATTAGTTGACTATATGTGTAGGTTTATTTGTGGGCTCTCAGATTCCATTAGCCTCTGTGTGTATTTATGGCAGCACCATAGTATTTTGATTGCTATATAGCTTTGTAATAAAGCTTGAAGTCAGAAAGTGTGATGCCTCCAGCTTTGTTCTCCCTCAGGATTGCTGGTCTACTTAGGGTCTTTAGAGGTTCCATAGACATTTCAGGGTTGCTTTTTCTATTACTGTGAAAAATGCCATTGGAATTTTGTTAGATGGTAAAATAATGTTTTAGTGATATGAATAAAATCTGTAACCGACTACCAAGAAGCAGTGGAGACTGTGACATTTAATCTTTAGAGAATAAACTCATAATCATTGTTGGCTCTAACCCCCACTAAGATTTGACATTTTGGGCTCAGCTCCATACTGCCTATCTAGAATTTAGTTGTTACTAGTATTTCCTCCAGATTTATAGTTGGTTATTTTTACCTCATTCTAGGTTCATGTTATTTACACGTAATTCCACTGCAGTTAATTTAAGACCATCTGATTTTTTTAAAAATATATTTTATTGATTTTTGTACAGAGAGGAAGGGAGAGAGATAGAGAGTTAGAAACATCGATGAGAGAGAGTCATCGATCAGCTGCCTCTTGCACACCCCCTACTGGGGATATGCCCGCAACCAAGGTACATGCCCTTGACTGGAATCAAACCCGGGTCCCTTCAGACCCAAGCCGACGCTCTATCAATTGAGCCAAACCAGTTTCGGCCTGATTTTTTTTTTTTTTATTCCCTCCAGTATAGTATGAAACCATGAGACAACATTCAACTTTCCTTAGGACTGTAGAGGGAAATGGGACTCAGTGCCAAAGGAGTATCTCCCTTTCCTACCCACCAGTTTACATGGTTCATATGAATATATATATATATATGTAAAAGGCTAAGCAACCAGCTGACCGACCAGTAGGTATGATGCGCACTGACCACCAGGGGGCAGATGCTCAATGCAGGAGCTGCTGAGCAATAGCAACTTTGCAGAGTGCCCTCTTGCATTTTGAGACCCCTTGGGGGATGTCAAACTGCCAGTTTCACCCTGACCCCTGCAGGCCAGGCCAAGGAACCCCACCTGCCGGAAGGACTACCCTCACTTTGCAGATGCCCTTCAAACCCTGGCACCACTCCAGGTGCGGCTGGTGGGGAGGGACCATGGGAGGTTGGCTCCAGGGCATGTCCAGCCCGTCTCAACCAGTCCCACCCCACTGTATTTAGTTCCCTTTCAATGTGCACAAATCCATGCACTGGGCCTCTAGTTATCTTATAACTTGGGAGGTTTCTTCACTCTTATTTCTGTTGATATGTCATTGTAGTTTGGCAGACAGCCAACTGACAGCCAAAAGCTCCATGTTGTCCAGGGATCATGGTGAGTTGTTACCTTTGCTTGAAAAGAAATGGACTAACAGGTACGCCTTCCCTTCCTGGCCTGCTCCTGTTCCCGGACACCCACCTGGGACACTGTGGCAAGGCAGAAGCCACTTACTGGCTATGTGTTGGGGAAAATTACTTAACCTCAGTTTCCTCATCTGTCGCCCAGTGGAGAGAATCCTGAGCCAGGAGCACACAGCTAAGCCACACTAGACTCCTGACACACAGAAACGGTGAGATGATGTTTTAAGCCACTAAGTTTTGGGGTACTTAACAGTAGCAGTATCACTTCTTAGACGAAATAACATCAGGTTCCTCCTCAGCATTTTTAATGGTTTTCGAATTACTATGTAATCAAGCCTTTCCAGGTGTCAGGCCTTTCGCCAGGTCAGCACCGGTGGTGGTGGTGGTGGGGAGAGGGCCACCTCTTGGTCAGGGTGGGTGGCCCTTGCAGACGGGTGAGCCGTTTCTTCTGGGTCTTCCACTCCCCACCGGGTGTGGGACCCGGATGCCTGAGCTCAGGTGGAGTGACAGCTGCTCTTGGAAAGGCCGGCTCCAGATCGCCTCTCTGCTCTAATGAGTGAGTCTGTGCTTCCTCCTCCCTCTTGCTTCCCCCACTAAGTAGGTGGGAGTAACTTGATTAAAACTGTCATAATTTTTAGATTAGTCCCTGTCCATTTGACTAATTTACATATACTACGGGTTGTCTCTGTGCCCTTGTGCTCTCATCAAGCACTTAAACAGAAAGCAAGCTTGAACAAATCCAAGTCATTCCTGAACGTATCATTATTAGGACCTGTAACTAAAATAACCATTTTGATTTTTTTTTGAGCTCTGTTTTGTACTGTTTTTGTGTTTTTATTATTTAAAAGAAACTTTTAACTTGATTTCCTCATGTTTGATTTAGGAAGTGTCCCTACATGTGATGCTGTTTACAGCTCTCCTCCTAAAATCTAAATTTTCCTGCCTACGGCACATCAGTCTCTTGTAATGTCATTCTCTCTCATGGTTGAAGGCTCCCACTCTATTCTATAGACACATCCCAGGGCCCTTGATTGGAGTGACCTGTACCTTAAAAACACCTATGTAAGCATTCCTGTACCCCAATCTGACAAAGCTGGAAATGGCAAAAAGTGAAGTAGTCTTTTTCCTCCTTTAACGAAGAATTCATTCTCACTATGTGTTTATTCTAGAGGGAGAATTGATACCCAATTCTCCATAAAACAGCTCCAGAGTGCTGTATATTGTATATGTATGTATGTCTACCTATACACACATATACATCCCTTTGTGATGTTTAGCTGCTAAGTGAGTTGGAGGACTGACTTTCTGGCTGAACGGCAGTCTAAAATTTTTTTTCAGAACAGCAGCTGAGCTGGGACTACTACAGCAGGTGACTAAGACTTGCACTCCACATTTTAATACCTGAAAAATGTGTATGTGCGCTGCAAATGATGCTGCTAGATTAGATGCCTCTAACTGTCTGTCTGAAACAATTCAGAAGCAGCATGATTTCAAATGCACTACTGTTAGTGGTGGGTCTTTGGGCATCTGAACTTACTGCGGAGAATCCTGAGAATCTGCGGGAAAGGTTACTGCAGGTAAAGGTCATGTAGTACAGCGGTCGCCCACCTTTCGGACCTCCATGGACCACCGGTTGGCAACTGATGATTTAGTAGAGTCCAGCTCCTGTTCTCCTGGAAGGTCATGGCTGGGGTTTTTCATTAGAGACACAGCTCAGGTAAAGTTCAGCACTTTTTCAAACAATTTAAGGGAAACTATGAATTATATTTAAATGTGGCTCTCCTAGATTCTTTTTTTATGATATTTCAGAGAGGGGAGAGAAACAGCAATGATTAGAGAGAATCATCGAGTGCCTCCTACATGCCCCCTATTGGGGATCGATCCCAAAACCTAGGTATATGCCCTTGACCAGAATTGAACCCAGGACTTTTCAGTCCGCAGGCTGATGCTCTATCCACTGAGCTAAACCAGTTAGGGGTGAATTTTATATACTGAGTGGCCAGATTATTTTGATCTCTGAATGCATAATCTGGCCACTCTGTGTGTGTGTGTGTGTGTGTGTGTGTGTGTATACACACACATAATAGAGACCCGGTGCATGAATTCGTGCATGGGTGGGGTCTGGCCAGCCTGGCCTGCTGGTTGAACTCCTGGCCGAGGGGACAATTTGCATATTAGCCTTTTATTATATAGGATATACACCGAGTGGCCAGATTATGCATTCAGAGATCATAATAACATGGCCACTTAGTGTATTTTAAAAAAGCCAGGTTATATGATTAAACATGCTCACCAAATTAAAACTTGCTATTGTATTTTCTAAGTTTATGCTAGTCTGAATATTTCCACATTTTTTCAGATACTGTATCAGTGTAAATTGTAGGTTCAACAGAGCATAGAGACTCCTATAAAAATAAGCTTTATTAACAAAATGGGCTCACTATATAAAATACAGATAAGTGGATTAATTTTACTTTTTTGGGTCATCTGTCTTATCAGATGCAACACAGTAGATAAGCAAGTAACACAAAGTCCCTGGTTCCCCACCCGAGGCCTGTGTCACGATGAAGAACAAACACTGGCCACTCGAGACCTCCCCTCCCCTCCCCACCACTGACCTGGGAAACTGCTCTGTCACTCTTGTGCCGCTCAGCTCACTGTCTTGCCATCCCGGCTCTCCGAGAGAGCCAGGCTCCGGAAGAAAACGAGTCTAAAACTTAAACGAAAGCTCTTGCCTGAGACAGCGCTGCAAGTCCAAGCCAGCAGGTGCACCCCCTCTCCGGACGTGGCCCGCAGAAACCACCACAAAGGCCCGGCTGACCTGGGTGCCCTCCTCACACGGCCTGTGCTGGGCAGGCGGAGTGCGAAAGGTGGAGGAATCTCAGGGAAGCAGACGTGGCTCACGTGCTCCATTCAGAACTTCTGGAGGAATTTGAGGACAAGGTCCCGCAGTCGTACCCTGAGCATCTCGTCATTGTCACAAATGATGTGGGTTGAGTCTTCCTCTATCTGGATGAGGGTCTCCGCTTCCTGGAGCAGGACGATGTGGCCCTTGCTTGTGTCTTCCACTTTGATGTCACTGAAGCCATGCTGCGCCAACAGAAAAGAGGAGGTTGGTGGGGACTCTGAGGATCAGCGGCTGACCGAAGGCAGGAGGGCATTTCAGCAATTGAGAACCCTAAACACGCCCCTCCCAGCTAGCTAGCTCAGTGGTTAGAAACCGGTGTGAAATCCTTCAGACCTGGACCTTGTGCAGTTCAACCTATGTTCTCACAGAGCTGCCCTGGACAATGCAGGTGCCTACTGTTGGCGCAGTGAAAATCCGCATAAAACTTCTGGCCCGAAGACTTAGCCACAGTTGGCCCTTGGTACCCACAAGGGATTGGTTCCAGGACCCCCTGCAGATACCAAAATCTGTGGGTGTTTAAGTTCCTTACATAAACAGTGTAATAACAAGGCTCTCCATGTGTAGATCCCAAGTACTGTTTTTGACCTGAGCTGGTTGAATCAGTGGGTGCAAGACCCATGGACATGGAAGGCTGACTGTATGTGTATTGAAAAGCTCCATGTATAAGTGGACCTGCACACTTCAAACCTTCAAAGGCCAACCGAACTTCAAAAGAGGCTCCCAAACATGCAAAACAAGACAGAATTTCGGTAACCTGCGTAAGCTTTTGTGATTGAGCACAGCCAGCGCCTGCTCAGGGGGCTGGGACGCTGGGCCCATCCGCAGCCTCCGCACCTCGCCATGGGCCCTGGTGAAGAGGCTCAGTCCTGCCCGGGAAGCACCATTCCTCAAGCAAGATCCCACGGGCCCGGCGACCGGCACATCCCTCTCAGGGAGAAGGAATGAAGCAGCACAGCAAATGCCTTTCTAGCCATCTCTGATGCCAATCACAGGACTTACACATCAGACATAATGTTGAGAAAAAAGAAAAGACGTGGAAAGATGACGGATTAGCCTGAAAGGGATGCCAAGCAGGTGAAGAGCCAGACCTGAGCAGCTCCACCCAGGTGGGGTGGGGCAGAGACGGGGGAGGGAACGGTCAGGTTCTGGGCTCGGTGCCGGGCTGAGCCGGGCGGAACAACCGAGTAAAGGTCTTTTTGGGGAAGCAAGTTGTTTAAAAGACAAGTGGAGGGTGAGCCCGGGCACCAGGGCCTGGGGCTGCTGTGAGGCCACGAGGAGGCCCTCCCTGGATGTCCCCCACCTGGTGCCCAGGAGCACCCCAGCACTCACCCGGGGCTGCACACCTCCGCGGAAGCCCTTCAGGACAATGAAATGACAAGGAGGAAACAAATCCCAATAAAGAGAAAGCTTTCCCATGTGGAAGCACTCAGCCCCCGAGGCAGCAGCTTTGAAAGAAGAAATCCTCTTTTCCTGGAACTTCTTATTCCAGTTAGCTGCAGTTCTTGCAAGAAGCAGCATGAATAACATGTTTAGCTAATTCCCTCTTTCTATCAAGGATTCTGTAATTCATTAGAATCTTTGAAGTTTCTGTGACTGAAGCCAAAATTCTAAAAACCTTTAAGGTTGAATTATTTTTCTTATAATTATAGTTGGAGTCTGTTCCTTGGGAGGAGCAGCCAGAGGAACAAGGTGTGGCAGCTGCTGCGATGAAGGATCTCTTTCTCCGAGGCAACTCCTCACAACGCCCGCCCACCCGTGTGAGAGGGGAGGCTCTGGAGGGCAGACCCTGACCCTTCTCCGTCCCCGCCTGCCCGGCTGCCCCAGGTCTCTGAGAAAGGCTCAGCCTCGCTGCTCCAAGGGGGGCACCTGACGAAGCTGTCGTCGCACTCCCTGGTACCCGACGGGAAGGGGGCCTGCTCCACGTACCTCTAAACGCCCCCACCCCCGGTCTGTCCCTGACATGACCCGGGACCAGGCAGATGCCACAGGGCCAGGAGCTCAGAGGAGACCAAACCCAGTGGAAAGCAGCAGCACATCCTTGAAGCAGGAGGCACAGGGAGGGGACGGCTCCCGGCGCAGCAGACGTGCTCACCTTCTCCAGCGTCTGCACAAACTGCTCCACGGGGATGGAGCCGCTCAGCAAGGGCTTCAGAACCTTGCAGTCCGGGATGTCATCGTTCACCCGCTTCCTCTTCTTCCCACCTGCGGGCGGGGCCGGCCTGGGCGGGGGCTGGAGCAGGAGGAACACGGGTCAGGACACACACACCTGTGGGCACCGCAGGCCCAGCTGCCTGGTGCCGCCTGTGGTGTCCAGTCAGCGGGCACCGGGGCTCCCCCTGGAGTTCTCAATGCCCACAAGCAAATGCCAGCTCTCCACACAGCGTAACTCCTTAGCTGGCAGACACCTTCCTTTGATAAAGAGCCGTGTTTAATTTTTAACTGACTCAGTTGTGTTTTCTGAGTAAATTGTTAACCCGTGCTGGCACTTGCAGTTGCAACAACAGCACAGCCGCACGGGTCACCGGCTGTGGGTCACTGACCGGTGAGAGCCCTCCTGGCCGGAGAAAGTGCCTGTGACACGGCGATGAGACTTCTGTGAGGACAGAGCTCGGGGCCCAACAGCATCCTGCACACTTCACACGTCCATACGAGGTACCACAGGCCAGCTCTGCAAGGTGTTTTCCTAAGGGGGCGGGTGCAGACAGCACTGGCACAGCGGCACCACCAGGGGGGCCCCGGGTGCTGTCCATCCACGTGGACCCTGTACTGTGATGCCCAGGCCCTCGGGCCCTGATGGCAGCTGTACTTAGTATTTCTAGGCCTCGGTGGGAGGGTGCCATCTGGCTGATTTTTAACGTCCCTCCTTTCCCCCCAGCACCCACCTAGTGCCCTGCGGTGGGCATCCTCGGGAGCTCTGAGTGACATGGAACTTCAGAGCCATGGGCAGCACTTAGTATGGTGGGTGGCCCCGCCTGAGAATGGCAGTTTCTCTTCTCTTTTCTCTCAGAGGCACGTGGCCAGAGAAGTAAGTAGTGGGGAGTGTCCTGGGAGCTGGCTGAATGCTAGGGCTTTGGGGAGGGGCTTATAGTTGTCCCAGGCCCTGCAGCTCCTCAGGGCTCAAGTCCGCCCCCCCCCCTCCCGACTCCCCCCCAAGATACCTGAAGAACATGCTTGTTGTCTTTAGTGTGCAGCACGGCCGAAACGGTTGCCAAGGAGATGCCAGGCTTAATCTCCATGGGCACCAGCGAATCCGCGAGCTGGAAGCAAACGGGTGTTAGTCAGGCACTCACCTGGGGGCTGCAGCTCCACCTTCGAGCAGAGGCCCCCGTGTCCCTGCCGGGAAGCTACCCATCGGCAGGCGCTACGAAGCTGAGCCTTTAAAGGTCGCCGTTATTTTATTTGGTATTTTTATTCACATTACTGCAGTCTAAAATAACCAAATAGGTCTTGCTGGTTTGGCTCAGAGGATAGTGTGTCAGCCTGTGAACTGAAAGGTCCCAGGTTCCATTCCGGTCAAAAGCATGGACCTGGGTTGTGGGTTTCTTTCCTGCCCAGGCCCAGGTCGCATAGAAGGCAGCCAATTGATTCCCTCTCTCTAAAAACCAATGGAAAAACACCCTTGGGAACCTGAGCCTGTTCACAATAATATCCAAGTCTGGGACTGGCGTCTCAGCCCCACAGAGGCTGGGGTGGAGCGAGGCCAGGAGCCATCACAGAGCAATAGATAAAGGAGATCCAAACGAATTCCAGTGATGGACTTAGGTCCCGGCCTGCTTGGTTCAGTGAACCCCAACGAGAATTCTGGAGACACTGTTCTTCACGAGTCTCCTTCCTCTCTTTATTGTTTGTGAAAGTCACGTTGGAGCGCTCTGCCTGCCATCGGAAGCCGGGCTCTGACTGCTGCCTGCCTCCCCAGGCCAGCCTCTCGCGCGACCTACAGCGTCCCCACGGATCCGCTGTGGAACGCTTTCCCTGTGAACAGGCTCAGATTCCATGTAACTAAAATATTTAGACTTCAACAGACCACGTCAGTAGATCAAAATCCTGGCCTCCCGGGTCACATGTAGAATCTTAATCAGAGCAGCAGTCAGCAGCCCTGATGCTCACAGCTGTCTCTCCACTGCTTGAAAAATGTGAATGAAAACATGAAATCCAGCCTCTTCCCAACTACTTCCTTAGGGGCCACGGGGCTCTTTGGCTCACGCACATCTGACACAAACCCTAACCGGAGGCCAGCCGATCCCGCCAGGTCCCCGAGAAGGAGCCCTCACCTCCGGCATGATCTCGATCTTCTCGTAGCGCCGCTTGAAGGGCAGGGCGAGGACCTCGGCCCGCCGGTAGGACATGGGCGGCGGCTGGCAGTCGATCATCAGGTCCATCCGGTGGGCCTGCGCGGGGGGCGGCTGCGTGTACTGCTCCGGGCAGACCACGTGCAGGGGCTGAGGGGCCGGGAGGGGGAGGGGGAGGAGGCGTGAGGCAGAGCAGTCCATTCAGAAGCCCCTTCCTTAGCTGCTCCCCCCTTCCTGGCACGGACAAGGCTCAGCACTTCCAGGCCACGGTGAACTTTCCTCGCACAAGTGACCGGGGGGAGTGGAGTGCAGAGGGGGAAGAGGAGAAACTTCAGGCAAACCCTGAGCCACTAGCCAGGGGACAGGCAAGCGCATCTGGCTGCCTGGAGCCATCCACTCCAGTCCCAGCCTGAGGACTCCGTCTCCTCTCCCCCGGGAGACCAGGCAGCCTCTCCAGGTTCAGCCCCGGCCGAGGGGCTGGACGAGGACCCCTGGCTTAAGGAATGCCCAGGAACGGACACCACAGGCTCCTGACCTCCCGGCGTGCTGGCACGCGGGGCGGGGGGTGGGGGGGGTCCACACCACCCAACAGCCCGGAGGCGGTGGCTGGAGAAGCCCGCTCTTCCCGGCCCTCCGGGGTCCCAGCCTCCCTGCCTCTGAGCTTTGTGAGGGTGCCTCTCCTCCTGAGGTCAGAGACTCCGCAGAGGAGGAAAGTGGACGCCTGACCTGCCCGAGGCGTGGGGGCACCACGCCCGCTGAGCGATAGCTGAGGAGTCAGGGGAGGTGCGGGCCACCGTGGCCCTCGTTTGAGTCCTGAGGACAGCGAAGCGGGAAGTGCGAACGTCCCCTGGCCTGTTCTCAGCCGTCCCTCCCGACAATTCCCACTGCTCCCCACCCCCAGCCCTCAAAACACCCCGCCCCGGCGGCAGCTGACAGTGCGGCTTTCACTCCCTGCTCTTCTCCAGTCTCCTTCTGTCCAGACGTCTTCCTTCTACCTGCCACCTCACCCACCTTCTCCCCTTCCTCTGGGCAGAAAAGGCCAAATGCAAACACCCAGCTAGCGAAAGCAAGAACAAAAACCAAACCGAACCGAACTTCCGGCGAAAACTACGACGACTCTGTGTGGCACTAACGGAACTTGGGTGCACCAGCCCGGCCCCCTCCCAGGAAGCTGCCTTCCAGCTCCGTGAGGACTTTCTGGAGGGTGGCGGGGACAACTGGCTTTTCACCGGACACAAACGTCCTCACGGAAGGACGGTCCTTACGCTGCTCTCCCTTCCCACCTGGAGTTCATGAGGATGGACACTGCTTGCAGGGCCGAAGCCCACGCTGAGGTGTGAAGGGGAATGACCCAGCTCTGCAGACGCTGAGCAGGAAGGAATGCCCCCACATGCCCCGCCCTCGCACTACGGGTTCACCCCCGAGGCCAGGACACAGGTCACGGAAAGACACCGGCGCGGTTGCCTTGGTTACCTGCACTTCTTTGAGCAGCTTGGACACTTGGATGAAATTCAGCCGGGTATCAATGGGGCAGTAAATGCATTTCATGGCCAAGGGCTGGTAGGGAGCCAGTGCCTCCAGGTACGAGAAGTCGGGTTCTAAGGGGAGCAGCACAGAGAAGACAAGTTAAGTGCAGGGAACCGAAGAACTGCCCAGCGAGGAGGCGGCTAGGTGGTCAGGGCAAGCAGGCGGTCAGGACGGTGAGCCTGTGAGAAAGTGCTCCGAGGGGCGGGGAGCCAGGCACCTCATCACCAGACAGAGGAGCCACTTCACACAGGGAAGGGGAGAGGCCAGGATGAGGCCTGTAGGATGGGGAGCAGCGGCAGGTATGGATGTCAATAAAGGGGTCCATGAGATAAATGAGGGATAAATAAGTAGGTGAGAAGAGAAAGCTCTTGTTTGCAACAAAATATCAGTTAATAATTGCAAAAGAAATGATAAAATTGTTTAAAAATCACTATCTGGCAAGCATCACAGTAATTACATATTCAGTCCAGAATGGTCAATAAATACAAGAATTAGATGAAAATTTGAGAAAGACCAGGACATATACACAGACTCAAATTGTCTCAAGAGACAAAACACAGAACAGTGACTTCAGAGGGAAGAAATGTGGCCCCAACCTGGACTCGGATGCTCGGGTCCACACCAGGCCCGAGCCAAGCTCAGCCCCCCTCCGCTCAGGACACACCCAGAAGAAAACAAGGGCCCTGCTGAGACCTGGCCTCCTGTGGGCAGAGCCCAGCGCTTCCCGACTGGGACCCACCCTGTCACCACGGCCAGCTGCTCCCTCAGGAGCCACTCGTGCAGCCTGCTTGGCGGGGGCGCTTCCCTTGTCCGAGGAGCTGCTCCTGGAGCCGCAGACCTGGCTCCTCCTGGCGCGCACAGCCTGCGCCCACAGTGCTCCCTCACCTGCACCCTGCTGCGCCCATGTTTACATCAACACCCTCCATGGACCCCGTTTCCCCAAGAAGAGATGTAGGAACCCCCACCCGGGCCAGTGGAGGGAGGGTAGCTGACCCCCTTTTAACGTCCCCTGTGCGAGCTGCAATTCCCACCGCTGTCGTAACACGACTGGAAGAACTGGCCCCAAACTTCTGACTCCAGCAGACATCACGCACGCACGTCTGTTATGGGAGCCCAACGAGGCAGTTTAAACTTAGGTTCGTTATTCGGGGTGGACAGACAATCGCAGAGCCTTGATTTCGTCCCGCTGGCTAAAGAGACGTTTATGCAGAGCGGACACTTCCTGCTGTGCCCACTGTCCATCAGAGTCAGCACCTCCCCCAAAGGAGAGACAGATGACTTCCCTGCATGCACGCCCCTGCTCAGAACTAGACGGCGGCGAGGTTCCGGGTGTCACGAATCGGGGTTCGGTGGCTGACATCTCTGCCGGGGCTGGAAGGGGACCCGGGAATAGAGAAGCAGCGGACAGCTGCTCTCCGAGCTCTGCACTTCCTGCCAGCGAGGTGTGCCATAAGCGATTTCACCAACACTGACCCAGACAAGGCCACTCGGTGACCACGATGGATCCAGACAAAAACAGACACCCCTTCCTCTCCCCCCCGCAACGCTGCCGGAACCACAGCACTGTCCGAACCACAAACATTACCGACCTGGCTCCATGCTTCCTGCCCTCTGGCTACGAATCACCAACACCCAGTCGATGTCCCACGTCTGTGAACCTGCCTCCTGCCTGCCTGTGGCCCGCGTCTCCCTCCTGGCGGAGTCAGTCAGCCCGAGCTTGTTTAAGCACCGCGTGTTCCCGGGGGGCCTCTGTCTGAGGACACTGTTCCCTCTCAAGCTGGCTGAGCACAGGGAGGGCCCACAGCGCCCGACCCGATGCTGTGGGCACAAGCAGCCTCTGCTCCATGAAGTCTCAGCCCCGTCAGCAGCTCTGGGCGCAGCCCTGCGCAGAGTGCTTTCTCTCCCCACCCACCCCACCCACAGCTGCCAGGAGAGGCCACTGCAGCCCGGGGCACAGAGAGCCAGGCTCAGGGAGCAGCATGGCTGAGGAGACAGCAAGCTGGGCCAGACTTCCGAGCAGGATTTTCTACTGCACAGCCCACAAGATGTACAAACGTGCAGGCTGTCTGAGGACCTTAAACTGATCACAGAATGTAGTGATTTAGTAAAAACTGGACATGGTCTCATTAAAGGACTTATTTTACTCTGAGGTTTCATTCTCTAGAAAAACAAACAAACAAAACAAAAACACCCTGCAATGCAAGCCAGAGCGAACTGTCACCAAAGCAGAAAGACCCAGTTCAGGAAAGAGCTGTGAAGGTGACCAGGGCGACGAGGACTTCTGCAATTCCTGAAGCCACAGCCCTCCCAGAGCAGGAGAAAAGCGGCAGACACGGACACAAAAGCTTTGTCTCACAGTGACTTAACAAGACCCTCTGCTCTATCTGACTCTTTCCCTGGTGGTTTCTTTATCCTTTAACATGTTATGACAAAAGAGTGTTCAAACTTATGCCTTATTTTATAAACGGTCTCTGGCCCTGACTGGTGTGGCTTAGTTATTAATAGTTGGATCGTCGTCCCACACACAGAACGGTCCCAGGTTCAATTCCGGTCAAGAGCATGTATCTCGGTTGCAGGCCCGATCCCAGCCCTGGTTGGAGCTTGTGCAGGAGGCAACCAATCGATGTGTCTCTCTCTCCCCCAGATGTTTCTCTCTCTCTGTCTCTCCTGGCCCCCCCCCCCCCCCCACACACACACACACTTACACTCTCTCTCTCTAAAAATCAATGGGGAAAAATCCTCTGGTGAGGATTAACAACAAAATTGCCCGGGTCTCTCCTGGGGAGGAGTGCCCAGTGAAGGTGCCGGCGGAAAGGGCAGGCTGCCTCACCTGTGAAGATGACCGTGTTGAGACTGGACTTGCCCCAGAGCTCCATGAAATGGACCACGTCCCCGAAGCGCAGGGAGGGGTGCCCGGTGAACACCACGCACGGCTGCCTGAAGTCGTTGCTGAAGTCGCCGTGGATGCTGGGGTAGTGCTTCAGCTTGTTGGTCTGAATGAGCTGGAACCGATGCACAGAACGTTAGCCGGTCCGGGTGGGAGGGAGGCCACAATGTGTGTGTGTGTGGGGGTGACCAGAAGTAAATTAAAAATACAAACGAATCTCATTATAACTTGCCAGAGATTAACCTTTTTTAAATCTACAATGTAACTCTCAATCAACGGAAGCTTTTCAGGTTGTTAGGCTGATGCAGTCTAACAGGATTTTCTACTGCACAGAAAATCCTCAATAGCAGGGGTGGCATGTCCGGCCCTCGGGCCGTGTAAGGCCCACAAAATCATTTGGTCTGGCCCCTACCAAGGCATTAGGGGTGAGTTAATGAAATGTTTGACCAAATACAGCAGGCTAACTTTAAGTTGGTAATTTTGTACGGCCCGCGGATGATGTCATAAATACCCAAATGGCCCTTAGCAGGAAGAAGGTTCCCCACCCCTGCTTCAGAACTTCCTGACACTTGGAACCCTGGCCCACAGTCCCTGGTACCAGTTACCTTCCCAAAACATGTGATTCACCAAGTTCTGCCGCCAATAAACACCTCCCACAAGAGCCACTGTTTACCCTCAGGACTCCTCTTGAGCTGTCAGTGACTGTGGCAACTTGTTAAAGACCGAGGCCAAACTGGCTCTTAGAAGCCTGGGAGCTGTGTCATCCGCATTGCACGGAGAGCTAAGTGAGAGGCAGGCCGTGCACAGCCCCAAACCTGTCTCAAACATTTATATTTGGAACCAAAAAGGTCTCCCTTCCAGCCCAATACTTGATAATACCCTCCCAACATCAGGCCGACCCAAGGCAACACCATACACAACCACCACCACAGCTGGCATCCGAGGACTCTGTCCAGACACTGCCTGCTGCCCTGACCCTGCCCCACCTCCCACTCCAGCATCTAAAGGTCAGATCACAAAGACCCAGACGTCAGAGACCCTAGGTGTCCACTAAGCCAAAGGGAGTATCGTCCGGAGATGCTGCTGAATGGGCAATGGCATGACCATGGCCCGGTTTAATCCTGAAGCAGCCCCTCCTGCAGAAGAGGGTCTGGAAACATCGGTGTCACGTGCTCTGATGGGGCATGCACAGTAGGGAGCCAGCTCTGAGCTCCCACTTTCCTCCCAAGCTACAAACAAAAGTGACATTCTTCCTATAACCTGGCGGGCCACGATCGCTGCCCGCCCCCGTTAAATGGGTGAGCGGCTGGCTGTCCAAAAGACAAATAAGTGCTCTGTATCCAGAGATGTCAAGGAGATGAATGGGCCGCTAAGAATAGCAGGTCTTTGCACGTAACTTGAGTCATTTTCCAGGCATCCCCTAGAGTTCCTGCAATTCTCCCGATCAATGCACAGGACTAAGATAAATTCATCTCTGGTTTTGCCGCTCAGACCTACCTGTCTGGGGACTGCTGCATCTGACCATCCGGAATCACCGTGTGCCCTGGCGGGTACCGCCAGTTCCCTGACGTGCTTATACCAATGTAAACCTCTTTAAATTTTATATGACATATATATAAACATAACACACACACACACACACACACATAAAACAAAAAATTGGGAGCAACTCTATCGTGTGATAGAGAATATGGTTAAGAACATTATAGTATGCTCATATGATACGGCAGATTAGGCTGCAATAATCATGATATGAGGCACACAGGAAAATGCCAGGGATACAATGTTTGGTGGAAGAAAAACAAAACAAAACAAAACTGGGCACACAGCTACATCCTGTGAGGGAGGGAAACTTTCCTGTTTTTTAAAAATTGAGGTGACAGTGACAAGTAACATTACTTCCAGGTGTGCAACATCATCCTTTGGTGTCAGCGAAGGATCACCACGGTGAGTCTAGCAGTGACACAACTTTCCCCCCGTGACGAGGACACTTAAGATCTGCTCTCTCAGCAGCTTTCAAGCAGTAACGCTGGTCACCATGCGGCACACGACATCGCTGTGACTCCTTTGTTTATAACTGGAGGTTTGTGCCCTTTGGCCTCCAGTTTTTTAAAAGTGATATGTTATCATTTTCATCATTAAAACTTCACGTCTATGATTAACATAACGGGACTTTACAATAAGAAATCTGTGAAGCAAACACGTTAGTAGTAGGTGACAGAATAGAATTCCTCGCGCAGTCGAGAGAACAGAGGCAGGCTCTGAAGTGTGAGTGCGCACTGGCAATGCAATGTCAGGAAGAGAAAGTGAGGGACCTGGAGGTAGAGTGGTTCCCTCCCATCGCATATGGGAAACGAAGGGCGACGAGTTTAGCATTTTTGTCTAACGGCCTGCTATCTCCGTCCGTGTCCATTCACCTCGAGTTCTTTCCTGCTCTGATCCCAGGAGACCACTTTCTTACCTCTGCGTGAGGAAAAGGTGGTTCTGGGAGGTACACCTTGGCCTGCTTGTTGTGACAAAGCCTGAAAGAGTGAAAAGCAGATAAGCCGGTCAGCGGGGCACACAGGCTTGTTGGTGCCACCTAGTGGTAGCAGTGAGTGAGTAATAAGTGCAAGTAATAAGTCCTGCAGTGAATCTCAGCATGTACAGAATAAAATCCAACATCTAGAGAGCACTCAGGACAGAAAACTCTTTTAAGCACCTTTTTAACGTTTAAAATTCCTTAATACATTTTTTTTTCTTAAGAAGAAACCTTGTTATTTTGAAATAATCTTAGATTTACAGGAAAGTTGGAAGATAGTCGAGCTTCTCCTAGTCCCTTCACTCACTGTCCCTGATGTTAGTATCATGCACAACCGTGATGCACTTGTTAAACTAAAACATTAACCTCAGCACATCACAATGAGCCAAATTCCAGACTTGACAGGGGTTTCACCAGTTGTCCCACCATGTCCTTTGGATCCAATCAGGACTCCGCATTGCACCGGACAGCAGTGGCGAGGGGGAACTGACGTACCCTTTGCAGAGACACAGCTTCCTGTCTGTCACAGCCACTGCGCTGCACAGCAACTCAAGCTGGGGAGTCAGTGTCTCCATCGCCCCACAGACATGACATGCGCGGGAAGGAGAAGCCTGTCTGCGTGTCGCACAGGAGAAAGATCCCCCGTAACTAAGAGGGGCGGGGAGGGGCCTGAGAAGGGCTGCGGGCAGCGTGAGATGTGACCCAGAGGCGGCGCACATTCCTTGCTCAAGAGAAACTTAGCAGCACACTGTGTCCTGAGGCCACAGCACCACCAGCAGGCACGTGTTTTCACAGCCCTGAACTCTGGGACACGCCACCCTCAGGCACTGCCGTGCGCGCAGGGAAAGTGAATCTGCTTCCTCCATCCCACCCCGCCCCGCCGCGGGCCAAGGTGGGTGAGGTCCACACGGGCATCTGAGTGCTCCTGCAAAGGTTCGCGGACGACTTACTATTCAGTGATTTACTCTCCCTGCGTCTGATCCATGTCCTGCTGTATTAAAACTAAGTTTTGTCAGATGTCATGCTAGTAAGATGAAAATATATAGTTTTTTCTTTCAGATTTGGTATCAGAAGTGTAGACAACGCGAGCTTGAGCTTTAACATCTTTTTCCGCTTCTTAGAATGCAATTTTACTTTGTAACAACAGGCAGAAGGCAGCAGGTGAGAAGGTAAATGGTAGCATTTTTGTGACTAATCTGGAACGTGCCGGCTAAGTCAAGTCCTTCCTCCCTTCCCAGCTACTCTTCCAGCAGCCAGCCCCGTGACGGACTTGGCTTCATTAGCACAGCTTCACATCACAGATGCGGGAAAGCCACAGAACGGAAGTCTCCCAGCACCATGGGAATTGCTTCTGTTCTTACTGCTTGAATGTACCGCCTCAAAGTAGAACTCAGAGAGAACACAGACCTACCACTCGGCGAAGATCTGGGAGAACTCGAGGGAGCTGTTGGCCACGGGGGAGATGAAGTAGAAGGGGATGCTGGAGAGGCCGGCCGAGTCGATGTACTGGTACAGGCACTCCAGCAGGTCGTAGATCACCCCCGACGGGTAGCAGGGGACCAGCACGTTTCCTCCATTCCGGACGGTCAGCGCTGGGGAGATCAAAGCCAGGGGGAAAACGACAGCATCAGAAGGACAGTTTTATAAAAGTAGACTGGAACGTGTAATATCTGGATTTCTTTCATTTGCCTGCTTCTGTGGGTGCAGCTAAGAATTTTCTATATAAACAAGTGAGAGAATGCCGAGTATCCGTGGTACTGTATGCTAAAAATCCGAATTCACCATTATAACAACTTTTTCTTTACCGTACCTTCAGATTGAAGTTGCCTAAGAATTGCTTTTGTTGATGAATGGTTTTGCAGGATGAACAAAAAGGGGAAAGGTCTTCAAAGGGGGCATGTGGGGCATGAAGAGGAAGGAAGGGGCAAAAATGCTACAGAAGCCAGGTGGCCACGTACCCAGGCTGCTGAAGAACTCGCCCACCATGCCGTCCGGGTTGGCGGTGGGAATCTGGGTGAGGCCGGTCAGGACGAGAACGTCGCTGTTTTTGAGAGATGCCTGGTCCATGGGCTGAAAAATCAGAGAGCCACGCTTAGTCATTTAAAAAGGGATGTGACCTACAAACAGAAAGGAAAAAGAGCATCACATTGCTCTTTCGATGTCCAACTCATCACCACGTCCTCTACTTCCCCTGTTGGCGTCCTTCACCAAACAGTCGTTGCTCATGGGACTGATGGGGATGGAGGAGGCGCGAGCGAACTCCATGGGCTGCTGAGCACATGATATCGAAGTTCACAGCACTGTTCATTTAAGATCTTAGGGTTTCACTCTGTATAGATTTTACTTCAATGAAAATCAGCAGGTTTCTATAATGCTTTTTGCTCCTCTCACAACATGAACTCACATTAACCATGGGGCTGGGGGTCTCAGACGAGGTGCATCAGAATCACCTGCAGGTCGGCTGGACCGGGGACTGTGGGCCCTGCCCCAGGGCTTCTGATGCAGGTCTGATGGGCCAGAGAAGTGCATTGCTAACAAGCTTCCAGGAGGTGCTCTGGGAAGGGTGTGGGGATCATGCCTTGAGAATGATTAGACTGTGTGATGTGATTCTCAAAGCAACTCTGTGAGCACTGGGAATTAGCGTTTTTATGAAAATGCGCAAGTTGGGACTCCAGGAGTTGATTTCTCCTAAGTCCAGTGGCGGAGGAACCAGAAAGAACATGGATTAGCAATAAGAAACATGTTTCTGCTGGGACCGGTTTGGCTCAATGGATAGAGCGTCAGCTTGGGGACTGAAGGGTCCCAAGTTCGATTCCGGTCAAGGGCATGTACCTTGGTTGCGGGCATATTCCCAGTAGGGGGTGTGCAAGAGGTAGCTGATCGATGACTCTTTCTCATCGATGTTTCTAACTCTCTCTCTCTCTCTCTCTTCCTCTCTGTATAAAATCAATAAAATATATTATATATAAAAAAAAGGAAACATGTTTCTTCCTTCCAATTCAATTACTAGCCACAGGGCCTCACCCAAGGCATGGAGCTGGGTTTCTTGTAAAATGGGCGTTTGTCTTCACCCATTTCCCTTCACTGATTTCTGAGAGTCTCATGATAATATTCATGATATTCTTATGAACTATGAAGTCTAATGGTGCACTGTTACGTGATCCTCAGGATGTTTTAAAAAATATTTTTATTGATTTTTAGAGAGAGGAAGGGAGAGAGAGAGAGAAAGAGAAACACTGATGTGAGAGTGAAACATAGATCTGCTGCCTCCTGCACTCCCCCTACCAGGCACGTGCCCTGAGTAGGAATCAAACCAATGACCTTTTGGTGCATGGGATGATGGCCAACAAACTGAGCCAGGGCAGGCTGTTGTATTTTTATTCTCACCTGGCACAATTTGAATTTTTTACTCCCCCCTCCCCTAATTATATCAGGATTCAAACTGGTAATAAAAATGATTCCATGAGTGAGCTGCCGGAGAGCTCATAAGTGTTTTTATTTTGTAACACCATCTTTTCCTTGGTTTAACATACTCATTGGGATGTTAGAAGAAAGAAAGCCAGAAACACAGATTACTAAGAGGCTTCATCCCTCCTTTCTCTGTTCCACCCAGATTTCCCAATAAAAAAAATAAAATTCCAAATTGTAGTACAGCAAAGAAAGACCCACCATCTGCAATGTTATTCTGAGTATATGTGCCTTTTGATGTATTTTCCTTTAGCATTTTATATAAGCATGGGCTTCATTCTTTTTAAAACATGACTGTTGTTACATAAGCTGAAAAACATTTCTTTAATAAGAATATAGAAAAAACACAGTTATGATAATTATACTGAACTAAAGGCCCAGTGCATGAAATTCATGCACGAGGTTGAGGGAGGAGAAAGGGGGCAAATGGGTTCCCTCAGCCCAGCCTGCACCCTCTCCAATCTGGGGACCCCTTGGGGGATGTCCAACTGCCGGTTTAGGCCTGATGCAAGGGATCGCTCCTAATTGCCTCCCCCCCCTCCCTCCGTCACCTCCCCTACCAGTCTGGTCGCCCCACACAGCCTGCTGTTCAGTTGTTTGGTCATCCCTCACTAACCTTCTGCTGGCCTGGTCGCCTCTTACTGCCTCTAATCATCCCCAACTGCCCCCCCTGCTGGCCCTGGTCACCTCTTACTGCCAGCCTAATCATCCCCAACTGCCCCCCGCTCCCAGCCTGGTAACCCCCAACTACATCCCCCCTTCCCCCTGGCCTGGTCGCCCCCAACTGCACCCCTGCATGCTGGCCTGGTCACCCTACTTCCCCCCCACCTGCCCCCCCCCCCCCCCAGCCTGGTTGCTCAGCTCAGTCGTTTGGTTGCCCCTTACTAACCCCCTGCAGGCCTAGCTGTCCCACACAGCCTGTTCGGTCGTCCGTTCGGCTTTTATTATTACAGACAGCTTCTAATTCCTATTTGCAGAGTATGCTAATGTGCGTAAGAGCTTTTCTGCTGCCTGGGAAGACCTGACATGTCTATTTGTGCTTCTCCAACAAATACAAATGCACCCACTGCTTCTAGAGAAGGAAGGAAGATGGGGTCGAGTCCAGGGGTTTAGTAGCACATGTGTAATGAGCCTGGGAATGTTAACTATCATGCATCAAACACAAGAAAACTGGAATGGTGACAAAAGGGACCAAGTTTTGCTGGACAATATTTTCAGCTTAAAATGGTAAGAATTTTATGAGTCTTATTTGAACAAGCCAATCGTGATTCATATGGCTGATGGGAGATGGGGAAATTCAGAGGCTGCAGCACCCCCTGAGATGGTATATAAAACTCTGTGTGTGCCTATGTACATTTCTCTATAGAGTTAATTGGACTGTCTTATGGGCCATGACCTCAAAAGGTTAAGAACCACGGGTCTAAATGAAAGCATATAATTAAGAACAAATTCTGGCACTGAAAACATTATCTCTGGACCTCAGCCATCAGCACTGCCTTCCTTTGAAAATTAAATGCCCATAATAAAAGAATAAACAAAAGCATTTGTATAAAGGGATGGTGCTCTAACCAACTAAGCTGTAGAGACAGACGCATAGAAAGAAAGTAGGCAGACAGCTCTGGTGGTGGTGGTGGCGGGTGCTTAGAGTTCAGGAAGGTTGAGCAAAAAAGAAAAGAAAAAAAGAGATCTCATGGACAACAGTGTGTGATTGAGTGGAGGGTGGGGAGGTGGAAGAGGGCATAGAGGGGATAAATGGTGATGGGGAAAAGAACAAAAAGAAAATCATCACCCAGCTCAGCTGTAACTTCAAACAAACAAACAAACAAACAAACAAACAAACACCAAAAAGCAGTTCTACAACTTAAATCCCACCGAGTTGGAAGTTATGAAATACTCCATGTCAGGCCAATACGCCATGCGGAAGCTGGGACTCCGCTCAGATGCTCCTTATTTAGCGCTATAATCCGGAGATGTCCTTGCTGACGGCCAGTGCTGCTGTGAGAAGTAGGCTGACAAGGCTTTTAGTGACCTCTCCACACCACCACCGTCTCCAGGTCCCACCGAAGGGCAGATGTACACACTGGCTGCTTTCAATGGCCATGCCTGGGCACTTCAAATGGGAACATTTTGTTCAAACACACAAGAACAGAAAGTTCCATTGTGTACAAGACTCAAATAAAAATGCCTTATTAAGTTGACAATTACAATCGATCTTGTAGAATAAAATGTTGAACAACCCTAAGCCCCCAGACGCCGTAGCGATCACGTGGGTCCTCTGCTGGGTGACTTTCCCTGACACTTGCACAGGACGCGAGAAAAAGAAGACCCAGTTCTTTTGGTCCTAGAAGCTTACGGTTAAGTTGAAAACATGTCTGTATAATCAGAAAGAGGTTTTTTTTTTTCAAAAAGCCATAGAAGAAATAATGCAAATATCAAGAGAGCTAGCATTGAGTATATGAATGCCAGAAGGAATGCGGACCAGAGAGCTACCGGCAGGGAAGTGGCTTGTGTGTGCTTTTTGGCAGATGGAGTTTGGTTCTAGTTTTTCTTCCTTCTTTCGTCAAGGAACTTAAGTCAGCCCAGGTTGCTGCCTGTGGAACCCCTCCGTGACACCCCTTCCCCTCCTCACACCAAGATGTCCTTCCTACACATGCCCCATGGCCTCAGCTCTTCCTATCGCAGCACCAGTCACACTGGGTTGTAACTGCCTATTTATCTGTCTGCGTCCCTGAAGGACCATGAGGCTGAGGGCAAGGACGGGGTATCTCCACTGCCTAGCAAGATGCCTGGCACACAGCAAGTACTAACTTAACATTTGTTGGCCTTGGCTGGTTTGGCTCAATGGAGAGAGCATCTGCCTGCGACTGAAAGGTCCCAGGTTCGATTCTGGTCAAGGGCACATGCCTGGGTTGCAGGCTTGATCCACAGTAGGGGGCGTGCAGGAGACAGCCTGTCAATGATTATCTCTCATCACTGATGTTTCTATCTCTTTCTCCCTCACCCTTGCTCTCTGAAATCAATAAAAATATATTTAGAAACACAGAAACAAGCAACAACAACATTTGTTGAATAAATGAGCCCATGAAAAAAAGCACAGTCTGATAGGCAAGGCAAGAGCATTGCATCCTGGGAAGTCAGGAAGTTAGGGAGGGCAACCTGGAGATGCCAAAGGACCTGACATGGCTGGAATGGAAAGTCTACTCTGGGGCTGAGGAAAGAGATTAGGAGAAAGACAGAAAGTAACTGGCTAAGGGCCAAAACGGTCAGAATCACGAAGACCGGTAGATGGGCAATAAGGAGCCAACAGTCTGAAGCATGAGAAGACATTTGGATACAATAATTACAGATAATACCCAAGGAGGCGGGCGAGACTAAATAGAGAGCGGACACACTGAAAGCCCCACGGCAGCTCAGACATAGAGGGAAAAGCACGGTAGCCTCACGGCAGCTGAGATGGAAGAAGCAGATGCACACAACACTAGAAAACACCGGCATTTGGGAATGGGTCAGACACACAGGATAACGGAGAAAGCAAGGCTTTAAGGTGACTGCAAAATGTCAGCGAGGATATGATTTAAAAGAGTAAGGACACAATAGTACATTTAGTTTTGGCAAGCTGCAAGTGTTGAGGGGAGGGAGAGCAAATGGGTTTATCCTGACCTACCCTTCTTTGATGGGAGAAAAAAGAAACAGCCTTGTGATTGGCTGAGTTGGTCTCTCAAATTTGTTCCATCTAGAGACCAAGCTGAGGGAGAGTCCTCAAGGCCAGGAGGGCTGAGTGGTGGGATGAACGCTTTTCAGGCCCCTTTCAGAAAAAGATCAACACCTTAAACACACCAAAGCACTGCCAAGAGCAACACCACCAACAAACTACAATGCCTCACACTACAATTTTCCAAGCTCCAAGCCTTCGCCTCGATCACTGTCCTGGACGAGCTCAGTTTCTCAAACCATCCAGGAATTCTGTAGCTCCCCACTCCAGGTATTTGTAGCTTTGGCTCTATTACACTGGTGATTTTTCACACCTAAAACTCAGGTCCTGCTGGGAAGTCAGGCAAAAGAGCCAGGAAGCTATTGAAATAATGAGTGTTAAGTTGCCTTTTCAAACCATTATGAGAGAAAAACTGGTGTTCAAATACAGGTTTCACAACCCACAAGCAAATCCATTAATTTGATTTCTAAGGCCAAAAAGGCATTGGCTTTAATAACCAAAAGTGCTCTAGCTCCAGCTCTAGCTAATGCACTTATGGGATCTAGCCAACAGTTACTGTTTGTTTTGTTCTATTATTGTAGTATTATTGTTTCCAAGCAATGTCCTTACCCTCTTTCTGAGCACACTGCACATCTATTTGGTGTAGATATTTTTCAGTTAAAATAAAGTTAAAAACAAACAAACAAACAAACACACACCTTAAATGTCCAACAGTGATAAAAGTTAAACATTTTATTGCATACCCATATGATGGACTACCAGGCAAAATCAAACACCTTGTGGTGGAATACTAATAACTAAAAAATTCATTAAATAGTTAAATCAGAAAGACAGAAAAGCTGGCTGTAAATAGTTATTATTATTATTTTTTTAATTAAGATTACTACAATTTTTTTTCCTCTGAGGTTTCGAAGTTTTCCAAAATTACTACACTAAAGATAGTGCTCCAATAAGAAATATAAGGCAACCATATTACTTTAAAACAAAACAAAAAGTCCGCTGTGCATCCTGACAAGACAAAGACAGTGAGCACAAGAGTGGCTGGCTCCCTTTTAGGATCTGAACGGAGGGACAGCTTAGATGTAAGAGAACCTGACACATTTTGAGAGAGTAAAAATCTGGAATAAATTCTCGGGGAAACCATGGGTTCTGGAATAGGGACAGACTGGCAAGAGCCACAGAGGCCTGGGCACTGCGGGAGTAGAAGTTGGGAAAAGAACACCTTGTCCCTTTTCTCCCGTCTATGCTCCTGCTGGCAGACTGTGGCTGCTCCCGCACAGTGAGGAAGGAAATGACAGGAAGGAGATGAGCGTTCACAGGAGGGGCAGGCAGAGCTACAGCCCTGGCTTGTCCCTCACTCCAAGGCTAACCGGTGGCAAACAAGCCAGGCAGACAAATTCCGGAGCAGAGGATCTCCTTCCTGTGGGGCCAGTAGTGAGAGCTCACAGGGAAACAGCACAGGACCGCCGAGGAACACAACACCTTCCAAACACAATAAGCTGCATACCCACCCCACGTGGCAAACCAGAACACAGAAGAGTAGTATACGCATTAAAAAGCCCACACAGAAATAATATAAAAACAAGGACGTAAAATAAAAATGACTAAGTATCAAGAAAAATATTTGGAAGTACTGTGTGTGAAAATACACTTGTTGAAATAAAAAACTCAGCACGTACGTTGAAGAGCAGTACGGATACAGCCAAAGAAGGAATTCATGAGCTGGAGGATCAAGAGGAAGTTTTTTCAGGAGGCTTCAATACAAAGATGAGAAATATAAAAGGAAGGAGAGATGGAAACATAAAAGTGTCACTATCTATATACTCGAAGTTCCATAAAGAGAAAAAATAATCAACCACAGGATTATTATACAATGATTAAGAATTTTCCTCATAAAGGAAATTGAAAGACTGTACAACTCCTCCTTGACACCTACATTAGTGTCATCATAACCATTCTCTATGTCCTCCAAGCATGAAATCTCCAGAGACAGTGAGCATTCAATATTCGTTTGTTGAATTAAAGAACTGCCAATGTTTTCTTGAACTTATCTTTCCATTCTTACTGCCGCAGGCTTAACCCAAAGCCGCATTCCCTGTACTTATTATTAGATTCTAGGACAGCCTGCTATGTACTTATCTAGTGAGGGTTCCACTCAAGCATACCAGTGGTTGGCCTCTTTCTGTAAAGTCTAAAGTTTAACTGTCATAATGGTGTGTAAGCATCCGTTAACAACTCATAAACGTATGGGTGTGGCTGTAGTCCACCAAAACGTTATTTACAAAAAGAGGTTTGTGGTGGCTTCAGATTTGGTCCATGGGCCACAGTTTGCTGACTTTTGAAGTATAATAACAAGTTTTCTCAAACCAAAACTTTTCTTATCCCTTAGAATTCCATTATTCGGGTAAAAGAAAATCTAATTTATTTTCTTTTTTTACATACAATACTGGCTGCCAGTTAGGAATTAAAATTAATTACTTAAGTATGATACTCATTACTTTCAAAACCTTATTTTCCCTTTAAATTTATGAAGCTTATAAGAATAATTTACTGGAAATTACATCAATAATACTGTAAAGGCTTTGATGTAAGCAGGACAAATAGGAAGAGTTGGCAGCCAAGTAATCTTTCTGTCTTTCCTGGAGGAATATTTCAGGAATGATAGAAGCTGCCAATAAGAAAATTTGATTCAATGAAGCAGGTTAAGATGACATTGATGGGCTTTTGATTTCAATAAGCGGGAAAGGCCCAGAATTCTGCAAGCTATAGGAAAAAATGACAACTTGTCCCCTCAAGACCTTGGGATGAAACTTGATTATAAAAGAAGGTATAACAAAAAAACAACAATGCAGAGTAGCAGCTCAGGAGCATCCTGTAGTTCTAGACTTACAGCAGCCCTTCTTTTTCCCCATATTAAATAGGGATTTGGACTTCTCCAAGTTATCTACCTATCCACCCATTCACCCATCCACCCCTTCATCCATCCATCCATCCATCCATCCATCCATCCATCCATCCTCTGCTATCTAATAACATCCCCTGCCCTCCTTTACAAACATGGAAAGTACCAGGATTTATAAAATGAATAATCCATTTACAAAATGAATAATAAATTCCTTACAAACACCTAAAAAGGGAATGCTAATGCATTTGTAACAAAGTTTATGTACTTAGCTTATTGCCAAAATGACTGTTGATGAACGACTAACTTAAAACTTTCCAATAACTTCCCTCTACATATGAAAATAAAATCCACATTTCTCATGCTGGCCTACCGAGCCCTACCCGACCTGGCCTCTGCTAATAATCTCCGGACATCTCTGCTGATCATACTCAGATGCTGTACTCAGAGTGGTCTCTGCGCTGCCGACACGCCCGGCTGCTCCTGCTGTGCGGGCCCTTCATCTGCCACGGTCTCGGCCTGTGAGACGTTGCCCTCACTGCTTTCTGCGGCTCATTTCTTCAGGTTTCAGTTCAAACAGATTCTCCCCGGAAGCTTTCTCTGACCGTCCAAGTTAAACTAGTCTCTATCACTCTACGCACAACCTTACTTTGTTGCTTTCAGTGTTTATATCACAACCTGAAATTACTTTGCTAATTTATTTCCAGCACCCCATGCTCTCTCCATACATCCACAGAACTCAGATCCATGAGCAAGGACTCTCTCTGCCTGTGGGTCACCACTGACTCTCACACCTAGAGGAGTGCCTGACACATAGTAGGTCCTTAGTAATGTTAAATAATTAATATCTGCTGAGTAAACAAGTGTTCGTCTCTCTTCCACATCAGGCTATGATTATTAGAAGTGCTGGGAAATCTCAGAATCCTAGAGGTGTCTTTAGAGGCAAAGGGTCTCACAGAGGACCCTGAGATTTAAATGTGGGACACGAGTAACCTAACTTTGATGAAGTGTATGTGTAAAACATCAAGTTTCAGTGCAGCAGGATGAGTAAGCTCTAGGGAGCTGCTGAACAACACTCTATCTACAGTCAACAGTAATGTCTTCCACACTTAAACATTTAGCCTGGCCGGGGTGCTCAGTGGTTGAATGTTGATCCTTGCACCAGGAGGTTGCCGGTTCAATTCCCATTCAGGGCACATGTCTGAGCTGTGGGCTCACTCCCTAATAGGGGTTGTGCAGAAGGCGTTCAATCAATGATTCTCTCTCATCACTGATGTTTCTATATTTCCCTCTTTCTCTCTAAAATCAATAGAAAAATATTTTTAAAAATGTACTAAGAGGGTAGATCTCATGTTAAGTGTTCTTAGTATGATTTAAAGAAAGTGTCTATAAAAAAAATTAGGAAGCTAAAACACTGCTGATGGTACTCTGGAGATAGTCTAAATTTGGCTTAAGTAACCAAAAAGCTGCATTGTTAAATGAGAACTCAGTTACCTGTGGGTGTGTGGTAAGCAAGGAGGATCCCGAGACGTAAGACACCTTCTCATAATGGGACTGAATAATCCAGTTGGAGCTCCCGAGGGCATAGCCGGAGCTGAGCGGGGTCACCTGGACCGCACCAAACAGCTCCTGGAAGAGAACCGCAGGAAGGGGCGATGAGCTTTCAGAACGCAGTCACGCAGGCAGGTCTGTGAGAGAAAACCGCAGAAACAGCCTTCTCCACTCAGAAACGTTTCCAAGTAAACCAGAAAGTCTGAAGTAAAACAGAAAGATCCATGTGGCAGACAGAAAGCAACCCCATCGTTTTGACTTGTCACCTTTCAGAGTTTTGGTGCATCCACATGGCACCAGGCAATGAGGCCTCACTTGGCGATAGGCGGAGCGGATACGTTACGAAATAAACCAGACACAAACACTTCAGTTTCTTTTTCTTTACAGGTTAGGTGTTATTCTCATGGCTGTTCTGTACCGAATGACTCTGGGCATAAGTTGATAGAAATGGGAACCTTATCAGGTCAGAGCTCAAAAGTTATACTTGCCAAGTGGCTTCTTGATCTCTTTTCTATTTTCCTGCTTCCTGTGTCACTTGTCTAAAATCTGTCCTAAAGTGAACAATGACATGCCTTTCTCTTGACTTATTACCTGCTGGCCAACCAGATGCAGCCAGTGATGGGGAAGGCAAGGGTTAGGAAAGAGCCCGGTAAGAACATGGGAGGGATGGAGGAAAGGGACAGACACTGCTCTGTCCTCAGCGTGCACAAGCACATGATTCTTAGTGATCAAATGGCTCCTACAGGCAGCTATGGGAACCTACCATAAAACCACTCTGAATAGGAAGCACATCCTTAATCACTTAAGATCATATCAACACTCACAATTTTCTGGGAATATCCCACCAGCTGGATTTTACTCAGGGCGGAGTTCACCTCCTGCAGTGAGTAGCATCTTCTCCAGGTGGATACTTCCACGGCGTCCTTGAGCGGAGAGGGCAGCAGCCTGTAAATGCATCACAACGCCAGCTCTTTAGGTTTAGAGGTTCCTTTCAAGTACTTCGTTCATTTTGTCTAAGCTGTCCAGCTTACCGGCACATAACCATCTGTGGAATTGTGATCTTTTTTCTTTCTCTTGGTCATACTGTCCCCTCTTTCACCTCTGGCTCCAGTAATTTAAATTTAAGTCTTCTCTTTTTTTTTTTTTTTTCTTAGTCATTCTAGCTAAAGGTCTGCCAGTTTTGTTGACCCCTTCAAAGAACCAACTTTTGGTTTCATGGATTTTTTCCTATTGTTTTTCCGTTCCCAATTTTGTTTATCCAGCATATAGCTGGATCTTTTTTACTTTTTATTCAGTCTGATGATGTTATTTGACTGACTTGTTTAAGCCATTTACATTTAATATTATTATTGATGTAGGTAGTTTATGTCTGCCAATTTAAATTTTTTTTCTATGTCTCATGCCTTTTTCTTCATCTATTTTTCCTTTACTACTTTTTAAAAAAAGATAGTAAGTGAATATTTTTGGATGTAGCTTCTTCTTTCGTCCCCTCCTACCCCCACCCTCCCCTTTTAAGTTATTTCCTTAGTAGTTATTCTATGGCTTACCACATACATCTTACTTAGCATCTTCCTTGTGAGATGCCATTTCTACATAGCATCTCACATAAGATAAATGTTCACAAAAGATAAATGAAATAAACTTTACTCATGGGCCAGCAAAGCAATAGAAATGGGCGGGCCAGCAAAGCAATAGAAATGGGCCTGATTAAACGCAGATGAGGCTTGGCATAAAAGAGGAAAGTAAAACGTGATTTGTGATCTTTCAGACCAGCCTCAGGAACATCCATTAAAATAAGCAAACAAACAAAATGGGTCATTAGAAATACATTTTATCACTTGCTCTAACATAAGCAAGAACAGACCCGAAAAGTGACTTCCCTGAGAGTCTCAAGACAATATAGACGAAGAAACTTCTGATGAACTGAATTAGCTCTGCTCTCTCCTGAAATATCCCTGAGCACTGACAGTAAAGGGTTCACACACACACAAACACAAAGACACACAGACACACATACACACAGATAGACATGCGCACACACGCACACAAAGACACACAAAGACACACACACATACATATACATACACACACACACACACACACACACACACGTGCACCCTCAAGACAAAGAGAAACGGAGAAGAGACAATAGGAACTGCATCCTGGAAAGTAAAAAGTAGGACAAATGGTAACTGTCCTAGCAGACCCAGGAAAATTCAATTCAAGTAACTTAATTTATACCACAGAACCACAAAAAGCTCAGCAATTGAAAACAGTAGGTACGTCTGGAAATTAAGTTGAAGATGGGCCAAAAAACAAGAGGATTTATTTAAAAAACCAACTGATTAAGAAATAGAACCTTCTAGTTCTCCTCACCTATCCCATAGAGCTCAGCAACTGTCTCTTCCCCTCCCATGCATATCCCAGAGGTCATTCTCAGGAGAGAGTAAAACTGAGAGTCAAGACAAGGAGAAACCCTCAACCCCCGAAGCAGTATTTTTAAGCAAAAGTTTATATCCTGATGCCTGGGTTGCAGGCTTGATCCCCAGCTGGGGAATGTGAGAGGCAGCCCATTAACAACTATCTCTCATCATTGATGTTTCTCTCTCTCTCTGAAACCAATAAAAATATATTTAAAAAAATTATACAAAATGTGCCAACTCAATAAATATAAATGAAAAATCAGAAAAGTTTAAAAATGATGTGCCAACTCAATAAATAATTAGAAGTCATAAAAAATCAGAAATGAAGACTAAACTAATACATACACGAGAGTGAATAAACACAACAAATAATACTGTTAAGTAATATTTAGGAAGAAATAAACACCAAAAAGAAATGAAGAGAGAAGAAGATGGAAGAAAAAAAAAAAAAAAAAGTGGCAATGAGGCCTGAAGACAGGCGAGAAGATATAACATACGGACAATGGGAGCCCCTGATAGAAATCCAAGCCAGGGAACAGAGCACCAAAAACCATGATTGTAACCTAAAAGGAGACTTGAAACGACATACTGGAAGAACATGCTGCATACCTGAGAATACTGACACAGAAAAATTAACACCAGATATATTTGGAGAAAACATTTAGCCTATATGGAAAACAGACAGATAAAACTTTGGGTGTATAGGTTAAAAGAGCAAGTGACTTATAAGGAAAAAAAAATTAGATTCTATTTGTGTTTTCAACAGTAATGCTTTACTAGAAGAAAACAGAGCTAACTTGTTAAAGACACTCAGAGAAAGAAAATGCAAGCTGAGAATTACACATCTAGCAAAACTGACTTTGCAGATCACAGAGCACAGATAAAGAAATATTAACCCGCGAGAACTCAGGCACATTGTTCTTGTAACCCCATCCTGAGAGATCTTCTGAAGAATGAGTTTCAGACAACCAAAATGCTGACAGGAATACATGGGTTGGCAGTGAGCATTAAATATATAAAATATATAGATATTTGTGGAAGACCAAGTAAAGGTTAAAAGCAAGAGAGGATACTATATAAAGGCTATATGTTCTGACAATAAATAGAAAGGAAAATATACATGACCTGTCCTCCGAAGAGGCCTACAAACAATGACCAATTCAGTAGCAATGAGCACTGCTAGCAACCAGAATGGGAACAAAAATGTCATTTCCATTACAAGGATCCAGAGTTTCTTGGAGAAATGGGCGATTCCAGATTGGGGGCAGGTAATAGAGAAGAGCAGTCTTAAGCATCCTGCTACATCAGAGAGAGTGGGCTGTGATTACATTGGGGCAGAGAGGGGCTTTTGAATTAACTGTATTTCTCAACCAGGGTAGTGCTTACATGAATGGTGGCTTTATAATAATTTATTACTGATAAATATTAATTTTGTGTGGTTTTTTTGTTTTATGATAAAAAGGTAAATAAAAAAATAGAAAATTTTATACCAAAATAAAAAATATAATAGCAAAAATAAAAAAAACTCATAGAAAGGTTGAGAAATAACGTTAAAAGAATATTCTAAGCAAAAGAACAAACAAAAACAGAAATGGAAAAGAGAAAATAATTTGAGTGACAATTCAGGAAGTTCAACATCTAAATAAAAAGAGTTCCAGAAAGAACACAAAAAAAATAAAAGAATCTAAAAAAAAATAAGGGGGTAAATAGTTTTAAAAACCAGAATTGAAGTTCTTGATTTTCTAGATGGACGGTCAGCAAACATCTTCTCTGAAGGGCCACAGATATTTTAAACTTTGCAGAGCACATACACTCTCTGTCAAATTCTCAACTTGGTCATGTAATGTTATCGACAATATGTAAATGAGTGACTGTGCCAAAAAAACTCTGTAAAAATTGGGGCAGGGCAGGATTGGTCCATAAAACAAGGTCCTAGCCAGAGCTGCCACCCCTGTTCCTGCCAACCACTCAGTACTCAGTTCATGAATGAAAACTATCCCTTAGCAAGACATCATAAACTTAGAGAACAAAGAGAAATTCTACAAGTTTCCACAGAGCAATCTATAGGATACATACCAAAAATCTACACTCAATTGCATTGGACTTTTCAATAGCATTTCTGAGAGCTAGAAGAATAGAGCAATGCTTTCAGAATTCTAGGAATAAATTATATCTAATTTGCATTTCTATCTGGGTGTAAGGGTAGAACAAAGGCATTTTAGACATGCAGGGTCTCAGGTAGCTTACCTCCCAAGCACGCTTTCTCAGGAAGCTATTGGAGGCGTGTCCAGCAAGGGAGGGTGAAAATAAGGAAGGGGAGGGGCAAGGACAGGGGCAGGACTTAGAAAATGGAGCTTCAGTCCAAACAGGTTTGGCTCAGTGGTACAGCGTCAGTCTGCGGACTGAAAGGTCCTGGGTTCGACTCCGATTCCAGTCAAGGGCATGTACCTTGGTTGAGGGCACATCCCCAGTAGGGGGTGTGCAAGAGGCAGCTGATCGATGATTCTCTCTCATCGATGTTTCTAACTCTCTATTCCTCTCTCTTCCTCTCTGTAAAAAATCAATAAAATATATTTTTTAAAAAAGAAAAGAAAAAAGAAAAAGAAAAAAAACGGAGCTTCTAACAGAAGAAAGAGGCCCAGAAACCTTCAGGATCGTGGTGAAGATAATCCTAACCTGAAAGCTATACATACAGCAGGCTCAGGAGCAGCTAAAATCAGACCAGGGGGAGAGAAAAAACTCCGGGAGAGGATTTCTTAAGATAAAATTGTTAAAAAACAGAGTTTGAACATACTGAGGAGAGATTGCTAACAAGTGCGGCAGAGGTTGGACATGCATTAGTAATAAGTACATTGAAAAACGAAGCAAATAAGCAAACAAGTTAATTAGTAACTCAGGGAGAAACAAAAAGTTGTGCAGAAAGGAAAAAGTATCCTAATAATGTCAATGCCTGTAAATGGCACACTAGACATTTAGCCAAAATAGCTAAATACAGATCATGTTGTTACAATTCCCTTTACCTGTTTCTTCAGCAACAAAATACCTTCTACATAGAGAGTTACATGAAGATTTTCTTACTTCACTTACCTTCCTCTTGCTTTAGGTTTCACAGTATTTATTCAATAAAGATTTTCTTAGTCCTAACTACGGTCTTAGCATTGAGCCCTGTACAACATAAAGGCCTCTGCTCACAAGGAGCTCAAGTTTAAGAGAAATTTATAACAATACAAAGCAATAAAAGAGCTGTGGCCTGGTCGAGGTGGCTCAGTGGTTGAGCATCAACCCATGTACCAAGAGGTCACTGCACTGATTGGATTTCCATTCAGAGCACATGCCTGGGTTGTGGGCTCAATCCCCAGGAGGGGGCATGCAGGAAGCAGCTGATTGATGTTTTCCTCTCATCAATGTTTCTACCACTCTCTCCTTTCCCCCTCTCCCTTCCTTTCATTAAAAAAAAAAAAAAAAAAAAAAAAAAAAGAGTTGACAAGAGCCAAGAGCCAGTCCTGGCTGATGAGGCTCAGT